TTTATAAATTTATATTTATTATATTAGGAATCCAAAAATCCTGCCTCGTTGAGTAATCGAGTCGATATTCAATTTCCGTATTTCTAAAAACAATCTCCCTTTGGCGATCAAGATTGAATTGTCAGTTTCTGGAACTCGCTATATTTCTCATTTCTTCAGTCGTATGCATGGAAGACGCGGATCCCGGCCCATGCAGGGGCTACTTCCAGAGATGGGCTTTCAACCCGCGCAAATTAATGTGCACGCCCTTCGCGTACGGTGGTTGTCGCGGCAATCGGAACAACTTCCTGACGTCGGACGAGTGCAGCAACACCTGCGGCGTCGTAAGTCGGAAATATTTTCTCGAAAATCAGTCGAGGGTGCGAGGTAAGCGAGATTGACGAACCGTCATCTAAATTCTCTCGTCTCCAGGTACGAGCTGTTCTTACCGGCCAGGCCTTTAACGAGACTATAAACCAAGATGAAACGCTCACCGACTCGTTGAATCCTCCTCATCTTCCCGTGGATTGCGTGGTGACCCGTTGGTCAAATTGGTCACCGTGTAGTGTCACTTGCGGCGTTGGTCGCGTCACAAGTTACCGCACAATCCAGGTAAGTTAAACTTGACTTCGAGCGATTGGCTATGGCTATATTATAGCGGAATTTACGCTGAATACGCGCCACTCGCTGTAATTATCAAGGTATTACGAAAAGTTCTTCCACTTGACATTACGAGACTCTCTTTGTCCCAACGATTATCGCATTCTGTTTGCGCAATTAGCGAGAAGCTGCGTACGGCGGCCGACCCTGCCCGAAGAAGCTGCATCGTCGTTATCGTTGCGAACTGGCGCCGTGTGAATGATAAATCAACGGGATGCCGATGCAAACTCGATGGCATTTAAGCTAGGATTAATATGTAGCTGTAGATGATGTCTTAAGGATTACTCAGGCAAAGGATCTGTCAGAAAAAGATAATTTAATTACATCTGTAAAGAGGTAAATCTCTGTAAATTTTTTAATCTTAGAACGTACGAGACCTAATGCCATGTACACGAATGCATAACGTGGATTATTGTGCCCCGTGCGCAATTTGATTTTTTTTTATTTCCGCATTTTCTTTTTTCGCTTACGATTCCTTCTCTGCCGAAAAGCGCCATGGTGAAGAAAATAATTTCGTTTGTAAAAAAAA